AGATTTTTAGCAAAAACCAACAGTACAGAATAATAACAGCTCTAACGGGCTGGGAGGCCTGTGTAAGCGAGCTAGCACCCTCGCAGCCGAAATTGAGGCCGGAAAATGGCGCCCGAGCACAAGGCGGTGCCCAAGATGGCGGCCGCCTACAGATCTCCTTGTCGGGGCCGCTCAGGGTGGAACTAGGCCCCTCCGGCAAGCTTAGAATGCCGAGAGGGGCAGCAAAGAGAAATTCGCCCCTTCCTGGGGCGATCAGCGTTCGTGGTGGGGGGAAAACCAGCTGCGCTTACAGCGTGATCAATTCAAGCCGCTAACGAGGGCGGCGTAGAGAAGCGGCAGGAAAAGCAAGCCAAATCGAGGGGGGTTGGTTAGCGCAGGAGTGCTGCTAAACCGCCCGCTCTTTTTCCCCCTTGGGGGCGAGGAACGCGCTCCCCTTGCTCTAGAGACACCCCAGATGCGCAGAGGCTAAAGGAAGGAAAATAGTAAGGCAAACCTTAGAATTTATAGAAGAGTCCTGAATCGGCCAAGGAGTGAAACAAACACAGTCTAACTCTCACGAAGGCTGAGCATAAACTGGGGAACGCTGCAAGGGAGCCACGTGATGGAAGGCGGAGCGTTCCTCAGGAATTAAGCTCAGCCTACAACGACGCAGACTGAAGCACCTCCCACTCTCTGGATGATCCGAGCAGCTCTAAGGAGAACTTGTAAGGTAAGTGAGTCCGGCACAGCAAGAAGGGAGGAGGAAGCATTAAGCATCTTAGTGAGTTGGGGAGGCCTTGTGGGCCTGTTCTATCACTAGCCCCCCCCCCCCCATGGCCCTCCTTACCCATACCTCATGTGCATTTAACAAACTGCACATTTGGTTAGCATATGCAGGGGCAGAAAGCAGGGAGTGATCTCGTTCAAGGTACAAATGGAATGGGCAGGCTCCATTACTCAAGGACTACCTGTACTTTAAAAGTAAAATCCACGGCATCAAGGCTTTGTCGATGTTTCTGGGTAGGCACTGGGAAATTTGGGGGAGTGCAGGCTAGCAAGAGGACAGACTATGGAAGATGTCATGCTATGATATTGGCATTAGCAATAGCAAGAGGACTGGAGGCTGGGAAAGAAAGTTAGAGATAAACTGCACTGACAAAAAACAAAAATGGTGGACTTGGACCATTGCATGCTATGGAAGAAATTACCAGAACAAAGTAGTATACAGAGCACCAAGTCCTGTTCATGGCAGGAGGCTCAGTACATTCTTTTTATACAATGCACATGTTGACAAGCCTTTTAAGCATGTGCAAATTTAGCTTTCAAATGTAAAAGATATTCCTTTCCCCAAATGGTCCATTAAATTGAGGCTTTATATTGTGCTGCACACTTTCCTGTTCAAAACATGTAGACAGAATTAAGAGATGGTAAAAATTAAAATATGCTGAGGATTAAATCATTTTCCATATTAGTAATCTATTTAAATGAGATGCACACTTGGCTTTTTCCACAATGCACAGAACACATAGAAGATTAAAATGCAGTCCTAGGCATACTTACCTGGAAGTGCAGCCAAACGCCTTAGTGGGACGTATTAAATGAAAAGATACCATGAGACTTATATGAATGACTATTGCTGGAATTGTGACAGGTTATAAAACTTTAATGGATGGAGTGTGCTAGGGCAGCAAAAGTAACAGAACATTTTGTGTGCAAAATTGTGGACATCAACCTGACTGTCTATTTCTACACCTTCATCAATAGATTCTCAGGTTAAACTTCTATTCAAACATATTTTTAGAGCAACACATCCTATTATACTTTGAAGATTCTCATGGCAAGGGCAGACAATGATATTCGAAAGTTATTGATTAACAAACAAACAATGCTTGCCATATTTGATATGCATGGGAATGACTCATGAAATAAACCAGATGAAGCACTCATCTAAAAAACTTACCTGCAATGGTGCTATTCATGACTTTTACGATGACTTACATTTGCTTGCTTTCTAGAAGGGCTTATTTTCCATTAAAAAGTTATTCTGTAAGCCAGTTTCAGCAGAAGAGTCTTCAAAATATCCATTTTATACATGCATGCAGGAACACACATATATACAGTGGGAACACACATATAAACAATACAAATGTATGTAGTAGTCTTCTCACTACTAGGTTTCCTGTATGTGTGAAAATTAGGGAGGTTCTAACTATATATTAACAAATTTATTGACACTGCAATTTCAAATAATTCTTGGCAGTTTACGTACTTTACAGGTTTCCTGAGTAGAATGATATTTAGTTTTCTATCTTCATCAAAAATAAACAATGACTATTTACAGCAGCTGTCATACCAAAGACTCATAACTTACTTTGACAGGCTGATTCTCTTCAGAGCTGGAGTCCTCACTACTACTCATGTCACCACCGCTGCTACTACTCTCTGCTTTGCCATTGGTAGTTTTGGACATCACATTGGTAGGTTTTGCTGCCAGTTGAGATTAAAACGTTTCCATTAAATTGAAACATCAGGTAGCCAGATATGTAGCTGTATATAGTATTTCCCTCTCTTTTAAGAGTGTATCTTTGCAATATATCTTTACAAAAACATTTACAAAAATAGCATTCAAGCTTACTTGGCAAAATGTGAAACCAACAAAAGTTCAAAGGAAATAAATCAATTTTCTATACTTAAAAATATGAATCATTAGCACTGTAAAACGCTAATTCAACTTATTAAGCAAAAGGAATGAGCAATAGTAAGTACTTTGTTCTTGTATATTACATGGATTTATACATTGAGCAGGAACTGAACTTACAAATAAAACAAAACAAAATGATCCCTTCCAAATTTATCTTTTAATTATTCCATTTCAACCTGAGGGCATTGCTGTTTCTCTAGATGTACAGCAAGCCTGAGTCAGAAGCAATTTATATTATCCTATTTTCCCCTCTCTCTTAAGATTTCTTCCACACGTTTCAATACCAGAACATGACTAAATTTTCTTTTATAAAATCTATAAAATGGGAACAGAAAATCTCTATCAAAATATATTAATGTTTCCTTTACTCCTTTCATACATCACTTGAATTATTCAGAAACTTATAGCTTGAAGTTAGCTGTTACCTGATAGAGAAGCCAGTTTTATGACTTTTGGGGCTCCTCCTGACTTTGGTGGTTGGTGCTTTGGAGTTTCATCTTCTGAGCTGCTTGAATCTGAACTTGAACTCTTAGATGTCTTCTGGGGCTTTGTTTTTTGAATGGTTGATTGGAGAACTATTCCCTTCTATCAAGATAGGTCAGTATCAGTGTCAAACAATAATTAGGATGGATCTAGGCTTCCAACAGCAGATGGGTGTAGCATGTTCAAAACTATCGTTCTTTTCATTCAACACATATCATTTTAGGAGAGCTGCGTCACTGAAAGATGCACCTAACTATTCCTAAATATTATTCTCTGTAATCTCAGATATCAGGTAAGCTTATTACTATAAAGTTTCAAGAAATCCATGTTTCTCTTGCACATTTGATTCAAACTTATTCTCTAAAATTTGGGAGTATAAGACAAACTCTCTTGAAGTATCTGGGTATAAATATAACAGGAAACGAGGGGTACCCCAACTTTGTTGGCTAATTATTTTCTATCCTAACAGCAACTGTCAAAACTAAGAATCAGAATAAAATCTCTGAGCCAGTTTAGAGTATGTATTTCAAGAAATATCTTCACTGCATTTATCATTTTCAAACTGTAACAAGTTTCATTCTTCAGCATTAACACCCATCCATCCTAATTCAATTATACAATGATGGTGTCACTAGTATTTCCTTGTGCCAGGTCCAGAGAAGCCTTCAAGTATTAGCTAAATTTTATCACCAAGAAAAACAATCAAGTGCTTTAAATACACCTTCCACTGGAAATCAATTACCAGTAGTGCAATTCAACCGGTGTAACAACCACGCACTTTGTATAAAAACAAACTCCACAGGTTTTCTCTATGGAAGAGATATTGAGAAAATTAAAAACGAACCTTTGCTGGTTTCTTCCCTTCTTGCTCGGAGTCTGTGGAGTCACTGGTATCAGCACTGCTGCTCTCAGAACTACCTGGAGTTGCCTTTATTGGTATTGTGGGCAGAGTTACTGGTTTTGCAGCTAGAATTTAAAATAATAATATCAATAGATCATTATTACTCAAAAATCAAAGATCAGCTTCTATATTTTATGACAGTGAACAGCTAAGATTTTATAAATCATAAAAAGTAAATCTAAAGAAGTACTCAGCTCTAAAGATTATGGAAAGTTTAGAATAAAGATGAAATAAAATTTCAGTATAAATCCCAGCACCCACTAATCTAAATCAAGAATACACGACAATATGCAGTATGTTCCATCTAAACAATGGCAGATGAATATATCTAAATTGGTATGGCAAAGAAAAAAGCCATGACTTTAATACAAGATCACCTTTATTGTCAAAGTACAACATGTGTACAATGAGATTGGCTGAGCCTCCCTTCGTGCATGCCCCCCAACACAACTCACAGTGAGGACAGAAGTCCCTAACCCAGCCCCAATCTTATTACACTATGTGACCTTGTTGCACAATGCGCCTGCCCCACAAGTCTTATCATACTATGTTGACATGAAATTATTTTCCGTTCAGAAGTCTGACAGCTCACGGGTAGAAACTGTTCTTCAGCCTGTTGGTGCGGCTGGCTATGCTTCTATATCTCCTACCCGATGGTAGGAAAGTGAAGAAGTGAGTCATCCCTGAGAATTTTCCTCACTCTTCTAAGGCAGTGAGCCCTAGCGAGGTCATCTAGTGGTATCAGAGAACAGCCCATCTTTTGTGCTGTGCTCACCACCCTCTGTAATGTCTTTCTATCCGCAGCTGTCACATACCACACCGTAATGCAATATGTGAGGATACTTTCTATTGTGGACCGGTGAAAGGAGATCATCAGTCATTGTTCCACTTTATTCTTTCGCAAGACTCTAAGGAAATGAAGTCTCTGTTGGGCCTGTTAAATATGTGAAGAAAACGGAATCAGTCCTACTAGATTTGAAGTTATGTTTTGCTGCCTGTTTAGTTTGGATGAGACTGGGTATTATTAGAGACTACTGGATTTAGGAAGACACAATTTGAGATTTGGGTGGCATAGATATTTATGATAAGATAAAGTTTAAGTAAATGTAGATTTTAAAAACCATTAAGTGGGCTATTCTTTTTTTTCCTTCATTTTTTAAATTTTGTATATACAATAATTCCAGTCCATTTCAATTGTGTGTCGACTAGGTACATAGCTCTTGTGCTTACAATTATAATTAATACTTTCCTTACCAATATCACAATAATCACATTTTCTTATGAATATTATCTAATATATCATTTTTAACAATCTTATCTTATTGCTTTATATAATCATCTAAATCATATTGTTTTATTTTCTAACCATTGATAAAATAAATCCCATACCATATAATATTCTCTTTTGTCTTTTTCTTTGATTACCAATGTTAATCTATTCATTTCTGCACACTCAAATATTTTCTCAATTATTTTATCTTTTGTGGGTATCTTGTCATTTTTCCAGTTCTGAGCAAATACAATTCTAGCTGCTGTTAACACATGTATAATTAAATATGTTTTTTCTTTGCTGTAACCTTCACGTACCATTCCTAATAAAAATATTTCAGGTTTCAAGTCTATATGTTGTTTAATAATTTTTTCCAACCATGTGTGTATTTTTGTCCAATATTTTTTAGCTTCTATACAAGACCACCACATATGGTAATATGTTCTTGGTATTTAATGACACTTCCAGCATTTGGCTGATTTATCTTTGACCATCTTAGCTAATTTTGCTGGTGCAAAGTGCCATCTATAAAACATCTTATACAAGTTTTCTTTGTATGCTGTTGACATAGTTAGTTTATGATTTCTGCCATATCTTCTGCCATTTATCTAGTTCTATAGCATAAAAAAATTCATGAAACTTTTGTTCATATGATATGTAACTGCAGCAAGACTACCATATACTCAAGAATGGGAAAGTTCAATTAACTCTTAACAGAAGAATGGTTGGTGAGGATGAAGGAACTTGTAGACATGGCTAAATTAATTTTTCTTAATGAAAAAACATCTGCATTTATGACTGATCAGAAACCCTTTTTCTATAAAATGGAAAAAAATACACAATTTGTGGTTTTAATGATTAGAAAAATGAATAGAAAGGAGTGAGCTTTCTTTTGTAATCATAGAGTAAAAGATAGCTGTAATCGTATTCATATTCGCTGCAAAGGAAATAAAACATTCTATTTCTTTCTTTCTTTCTGAACTTTTCCCTAAGCCTTTCCCCCTACTTTATTACTTTTTGTTAGTTTTTATGTTCTTTGTAAAACTTTTAAGAAAATATATAAAAATACAGGACCATATAAACATTATAATCAAAATACAGAAAGTAGAAAGAATAAAAACAGCAACTTAACTTTATCAGAGAAAATCCAGTCTATTACACTGCTTTGAAGCCAGTGTACTTTCGCAAGTATCCATTCTGCTATGAATATGTTCACCTTAGCTAATTTCTCCACTAAGAACAGCAGGCCAGTCTTTGTGAAGGACTACAAACATAAGGTATAGATCGGGTGTCGCCAATCCGCAGCTCTAGAGTCGCATGCGGCACTTTGACCCCTCACCTGCAGCTCACTGCCGACCCGGTTGCATGACTTGCTCTCCGCACAGCTTGTAGGTCTTTGTGCAGAGCCATGCGGCTGAAGCACTCCTAGCGTTTTCTCTGCACTGCCTGCAGCTGGCTGCTTTTTGCAATTCCGTGCCAACCCATGCCAGATTCTGTCCCCTTTGTGTTGGCTCAGGAAGGATTGGAATGAGGGAGAGCAGAAGTCGCCGCCAGATGCAGGGAAGGAAGAGCTCCGGCTCTTCTGTGCAGTGTCACCGGCTACCCACCTGAGCATGCAGTGATGGCAGGAAAAGTCGCTGTCACCACCACCGCTGTGATCCTGGCCCAGGAGGGTATCCCACTGGTGCACATGAGTGTAGGTGTACGAGAGAGAGAGAGAGGAGAGAGAGAGGAGAGAAAGAGAGAGAGAAATGAGAAAATGATGGAGGGAGAGAATGAAAGACAGGAAAGAAACAAATGAGAGAGACAGAGAAGGTGTACAGAGAGAGGGAGAGAGAAATGAGAGCTGGAGAGAGAGAATGAGAGAGGAAAAGAGAAGGAAACAAATGAGAGGAGGAGGAGGAGAGGAAAAAGAGAAAAACAGAAATGAGAAGGAGAGAAAGAGAGAGAGAGAGTAATGAAAGAGAGCTGGAGGGAGAGAATGAGAGAGAGAGAAAAGAGAGGGAAACAAATGACAGAGAAGTGGGAGAAAAAGGAAGAAAGAGAAAAAAGAAAGAAAGAATTCTCTCAGACCTATGATGAAAGCAATGGCAAGCTAGATCTCTTGCCAAGAAAGCTGCAGTTTGCCAGAAGGTACAAATTGGAAGACAGTCTGATTTTTAAAAAAAGGGAATAACAGAGATGGCAAAAATGCATCTGAAAATAAAATTATGTATAATTCTGGATAATGTATTATATTGTCAAACTCAAAAGAAATCAAAATATATATGCTATTGCTGTTAGTACAATCTTGCCAGCTTCTATCAAGTGTTTACTATGAAAAGATTATGGAGAAGCAATTTCTCACAATTAGCAACTTTATTTTGGATTTGCTATTATATTCAATGAGAAAGAAAAAGAAAGAAGGGAAGGGAAGGAAGAAGAGAGAGGGAGTGGAAAAGAGAAAAACAGAAATGAGAGGGAGAGAGGGACCCATTTCCCACAGAAAACACTGGGAGCTACGAAACCTGGATAGGCATGGCTGGGTGTGTGTGTTGTGTGACTGTGTGGGAATGATGCTGAGTTGGCCACACCCACCCAGGTTTCGTGGCTCCCAGTGTTTTCTTTTTCTGTGGGAAATGGGTCCAAATGACTCTTTGAATGTTAAATGTTGCAGATCTTGGCTGAAATTTCTTTCAGCAGACAAGTGCTGTAGCAAGTGTTGCTTGGTTCCTTTAGTTCAGCAAGTAGTTCCCCAAACTGAGGATGCAGATATAGGAGGGAAACAGAATACCTGATTTATCATGAAATGGATGTTTTATACCCATGGATGAAGACACCCGGAACTCATCCTTTATGAAGATGGCTTTTTTGGTTTACCCTTGTCTTTCATTTTGAATGAGCTTTTTTTAGTATTCATCAACTGATACAGATAGGGAGGGGCTCTTTAAAGCTTCCTAAGAGCCACAAAAGAAAATGTTTTGTCCTGTCTATCAGTGGAATGGAAGAGTCAAACAAGTTAAAAACACCTCCAATCCCAGGAGGAAACACAAGGAAACAAGGAGCTTGTTTCAAATTCCCAGTGTTTTCTATGGCAGGAAATGAAACATATTTCAGATTTGTTGCCACATTGCAACTCACTCAAAAATTCCAGTGGGATATTCTAAATGGTGTTTTTTGTTCCAAGCTCTGAACAAAACTTTTTATAATTTTCATTTTGTACATGCCCTTAAGAACACTATGCTGCACAAATCTTCTCAGTGTGGAACCATTTTGCTTTCCCCTATTGACAGTGGTAGAAAGGTATGTAGAAATTCCCGCCATGTATTCTGTAAGATTATTGTAGGATTATTGGACATGCTGCTTTTCTTATAAGCATTTTATTACCAGGTTTCATTAAACATCCTCATTAACATTCCTGCAAGCATTTTATTACCAGGTTTCATTAACATGTGAGTGGGGGAAGAAGTAAATTTCCTGGGTATTTTTATATGGTAGCTTATTCTAAGCCTTGCCTTCCTTAATACTTTTTTTAGGTGGTACTGAATCATGATTGCTCTTGTTTATTTGGATGTTAATTAATAAGTAAGAAGAGTGTATCTAGCTTTGTTTGCTTCTTTCCTTGATTTTTGGTTGCTCTCTTTCTTGAGCATTAATAGATGGAGTGTCAGATCTGCCATCTACTGCTTCTACGCTTTGCTGGCATCCTGTCATAAAGTGCGGGGGGGGGGGGGGGGGGGGGGGGGGGGGATGGAATGTAGTGAATGGAGATGAGAGGAAAGGAGGGTGACAGCCTTGACAGAAACCAGAGGTGTGAGAACCAGCATATATTAGTCTTCAAGGACTCCTGGCCTGGGAACAGAATGTGAAACTGCTTCATAGCACCAGCCATCCATTCTGTTCCCAAAAACATCTGAACAGTATGCAATTGGACGGAGATGGACTAGTCAAGGGGGAAAGGCCAGGGGAAGAACATGTTTTGTGCGGGAATCTTAAGATTTAGCCTTCCTTTTGCTGCAACCACTTAACCAAGTAAAAGAACCTGTCATTTCAACCAAATGGAGTTGAGGGTTTTTATTTCTTAGGGTTCTGAGCTGGAACAGGCCTGACATGGAACTTATCTAAACAGGTCTGCTAATGACGGCTTCTCAAAGTATCATACATCAAATTCTCTTGCATTACTAGATCTGATTTCAATCTAAGATATGTAGTTTCTCAACTGAAACTGATTGAATTTGGCTGTTCTGAAACAAGCACTTTTGGATGTATTCTGGCAATTGGAAGATTTGACAAAAGCTTCATAATGGTAAATATATAATATATAAATATATAACATATAAAATATATAAATATATAAATAAAAATACTCCTCCATTATGGTAAACAAGTATCTGCTATGTTACTGCTGAAATATCATTCTCTGAGTCAAAAGGGGAATCAAACTATGAGACATTTACTAGTAATATAACAAAAAAGCATGAAATATTACACTAGACATAAACCAGCAAGCCTCACCTTGTTTTTTGACTGGAGGGATTTCATTTTCACTGGAACTTTTATATCTAGATAAGGATTCTTTCTTTGTCTTCTTTGCAGGAGACCCATTTGCAAATGCTTGCTGTTTTTTTGCAATAGGTGATCTGAATGGATGGGTGAATGAGAAAGTATAAGAATCTCCATTCCATATTAAGTTTTCGAATGTTCAGGAGACATATGATTTAGCCAGTGTGTGATGGTAAACACAACTGGGCATATCTAATGACTGAAAAAGAGACCATCATGCTCCAATATAGAGGGTGGGGAAAAATGAAAACATATTCATAAAGATTAAATTAGTCAAGAAGCTGTGATTATATCTATAGCATTTCTATCTCAATTTGTAATTTAAAAAATCCCAAAGGGCCCATTTGAAACATTCAAAATGCCTGCAGAGATAATACAGTTACTGCTGGTATCTTATTAACTTATACAATGAATATTTCTTGGGAAAACAAAGCTTATTAATATTAAAGGACTACAGAATAATTTAGTATAAAAATGCAACTACTAGTAAATATCCCCACAACCTTAATTTTACTTCTTTATATAGTATAAATGAAGCATGTCTTATTTATTTACAAATATGTATGCCTTTATAACATACAGCTGCTAGCAAATAAACTCATGAAGTTATATACATATACTTCACAATTTATAACAATTGGGATTAGAATGTTCATCTCTAAGTTGTAAAGCACAATTCAGGTTACTATTGGTTCACTGGATGTCATGATTGTTTGGCGAGTCAACTTACTTCTGGCTTTTCACAACTAAAGACAGTGGGAAAGCTAGCTGTCAGCCCTGAAGCCATTTTGAGCATCTTCAGGGCTGCCACAGCAAGGCTGGCTGAAGCTGTGGGAATGGGAGGGGAGAAATAGAGATAGCTGGGGATGTGTAGCCAAAATAAAATTCTTTCACCTGGGAACCAAGGATGTTCTCACCAGTTGCTGGGAAGGCGTGGACTGAACCCAAAGGGAGTTGTGACCTGATTGGACCATGTGATGGACGTGTGGCCTGGGGGCAAGAACTTTGGGGTTTGATTTGGGTGGGGAAAACCTCGGGTCCTTCAGAGTTGGGTATTCACCAGCTGTGCCAATATGGCATACCTAATAAATTCATACTTTGAGGAAACAAGGGTAAGCAAGAGCACAATGCAGATCAGGGAGGGTGTGCAAGGGGGTATATGAGATGCAGATTGGGGAGAACATACAAAGGTGTGTATGAAAGATATAGTAGATGAAAGGTGTGTGAGGGTCAGAGGAGTGCTGTGGGTGTGCAAAACAGCCAGCATGATGAAGCACAGAGGGGCTGGGAAGACGGTGTATGGGTGGGAGGTGACTTACTCAACAACAAACTCAAACAGGAGATATAGGAAGCATATCCAGAGTCAGATATAAAGATCTCAGGTACCTTTATACAAATGCACAAAGTCTGGGGAACAAATAGGGTGAACTTGAACTATTAATACTATGAAGGTAGTTCAGGGGTCGGCAACGTGCAGCTCTAGAGCCGTATGCGGCTCTTTGGGCCCTCTCCTGTGGCTCCATCGGATGATCCCACCAGTGGCTGGCCCCGCTCCTCGCCCTCCCCTCCCACTCACTCCTCACCTGCCCTGAGAAGGGCGATGGCAACGGATGGAGACTTGCTCCATATTCCAGAGTGGGAGCAAAGTGCCCCTCTTCTTGCCTCTTTTTCCAGCCCTTGTTAGTGCTGCGCACACCTTGGCTGCTGGGGAAGACACACAACTTTTCTCCATCCCAAGACAGCGAGCAGCCATGGAGGTGGCGAGAGCAGCGGCATCAGCTGCAGCAGGCCCAGTCAATGTCTCAGGGCAGAGATAAAGTCACGTGTCTCCCTATATTCCTCTCACCGTCTCCATGGCCTGCTCGCTGCTATTGCAGCGCCTTGCGGCGTCCCCTCCTCCTCCTGGAGCCCATTACAATGTGGAGCATTAGCTGCAGCTGGCCCAGCTAGTGTCTTGGGGCAGAGAGAAAGTTGTGAGTCTCCCTGGTACACACAGTACCAAGAAGGGCCGGAAGAAGAGGCAAGTAGAGGGGCACCACTCCCGCTCTGGAATACAGAGCGAGTTTCCATCTGCCACCGTCGCCCTTCTCTTCTCAGAGCAGGCGAGGAGTGACTGCGAGGGGAGGGCGAGGGTGGGGCCAGCCAGTGGTGGATTCAGCCAACAGGGAGCCACAGCAGGGGGACGAAAGAGCTTCATTTATCTGGGAACCTGAAATGACTCTTGATTTAAATTATATGGTAAAAAGCACCCAAAGAAGAAAGAACATCAACAAAACCAAAACCCAACTCTTGCCTATTTTTGGAAATGGTTCAAGAGGGAACACACACACACACACACACACACACACACACACACACACACGAGGGGGGAGGGAGGAGAGATGAGAGAGAGAAAGAAAGAGATGAAAGAGAGATGAGAGAGAGAGAGAGAGACAGAGAGAGAAATGAGAGATGAGAGAGGGAGAAAGAGACAGATGACAGATGAGAGAGAAAGAAAGAAAGGAGAAAGAGAGGAAAAGAGAAGGAGAAAGAAAGAGATGAGACGCAGATGAGTGTCATTCCCTTCAGAATCTGATTCAAGGGGGAGGTCAAGCAGCTGACAGGGAGTAGGAGTGTGGCTCCGTTGGCTGTGGAAGAAACTGGGGAAGGGCAAAGTCCGGCTGGGTAGAGCAAGGGAGAGGTAGAGCAAGACAGAGGGAATTCAGAGGAAGACCCAGGCCCACCCCCTCTTTATCCTAGGGCACGTAGGGAGGAACGGAGAAGGGAGTAACGTGAGTTGCATGGTTTACGGGGGAGGAAAGGGCCCTAATCCCCTTAATTAGCTGCAGCTGGGAACACAGTGTTTAAAAAGGGAAGCTACGCACAGCAAAATTGTTGGAAGCAAATTATGAGTTATCTTTTATTGTCGTGGTTTATGTGGGTTCCTGGCATCTTTCCAACGGTGTGTGTTTTGCTAGACTTTCAAGTCTGCAATTCCTTCTCCTGCCATGTCAAGTTAATTACTGCAGCATAGTTTGTGTGAATTTTTATTTACAATTTGTATGTACTTCATTTTCGGACTGAATTTCCTCCACTGAAAGACTTCTTGGGAGTTTTTTCTCCAGCCGAAGGTAACTGGACACTGGGGGCAAAGTTGGAGGTACTAAAGGGACTCTTACTTATGTGACTGTGTTGCCTTTGTGCCACGCCCCTTTGGGTCATCACAATATGAGAGAGAGAGGAGAGAGAAAGAGAGAGAGGAAGAGGGAGAGAAAGATACCTGTTTTCTAGAGAAAATACCAGGAGCTACAAAACCTGGGTAGGTGTGGCTGGGGGGGGGGCGTGTCATGTGATCTGGTGGGAGTGAGTGACATTGTGTTGGCCACACCTACCCAGGTTTTGTGGCTCCTGGTGTTCTCTTTTCTATGGGAAGCAGGTCCAAATGGCTCTTTGGGTGTTTAAGGTTGCAGACTCCTGATATAGCTGGAATTACAGAAACTTGGTGGGATGAAACCCATGACTGGAACAAGCTTATAGAAGGTTACAAATTCTTCAAAAAAATGCAAGCCCCATAAAAGAGAAGGTAGAGTTGCACTGTACATAAAGGATTACTATATTGCTATAGAAATGCATGAAACCAAAGATGAAAACCTCCTCAAATGCATATAGGTCAATATAAAAGAAAAAAAGAATGAAATGGCCATAGGTGTTTACTACATGTCACCCAACCAAGCAGAAAAAATATAGGTCCTTTTTGCTAACCAACTAACAAATATATGTAGGAAACACACTACAATAGTAATGGGGGACTTCAATTACCCTGACATCAATTGGAAGACTAATTCTGCACCAAGTGAGAAATCAAATAGGTTCCTGACCAATCTAGCTGACTACTTTATTATCCAAAAGGTAGAGGAGGGAACTGGAGGGACAGCCATACTGGACTTAATTCTTACAAACACAGAAGAAGTGGTAGAGGAAGATGAAACTGCAGGAACCTTGGGTGAGACCACGACATACTAGAATTCAACATAACACAAGCAAAACTAATAGAACATAATGATATCAGAGTCTTAGATTTTAAAAGAGCTGATTTTGACAAACTCAGAGAGAACTTTGGAAACTCTGAAAAATATGATCATAAAAGCCCAGTCCAGCACAATACCACTGAAAAAGAAATCCAAGAAGAAACCAGCATGGCTGCACAAAGATTTCTATGACAAATTGAAAGGCAAAAAGGACAAGTACAAAAAATAGAAAGAGGGACACATAATTAAGGCAGAATATCAGCAGATAGCCAGAATCTGCAAAGACAAAGTCAAGAAAGCAAAGGCTCAGAATGAACAAAGACTTGCACTAAAAGTCAAAGATAATAAAAAAAAGTTTCTTCCAACATATAAATAACAAGAAAAAAGTCAAGGAAACAGCTGGTCCACTAAACAGAGAAAACAGCGAAGAAGTAACAGACAGCAGAGAGAAAGCAGAGCTGCTAAACTCATTCTTTGCATTGGTCTTCACACAAAAAAGAAATTATAGCTCAACCCACCAAAAACGTAACTGTAAAAGACAGACTCGAAATAAAAGTTAAAATAAGCAAAAAAAATGGTAAGAGGACACTTGTCTGATCTTGATGAATACAAATCACTGGGACCTGATATATTACATCCCAGAATTCTAAAGGAGCTGGCAGAACCACTGTACCAAATCTTTCAAAAACTGGAGCACCGGGGAACTACCAGAGGACTGGAAAAGAGCTGATGTGGTTCCCATTTTCAAAGAAGGGGAAAAAATAGACCCAGGAAACTATAAACCAATCAGCCTAACATCAATACCTGGGAAGATACTGGAAAAGATAATTAAAAAAAACAGATCTGCCAACATCTAGAAACGAGGAAAGTAATAACTAGCAGTCACCATGGGTTTGTTAAAAAACAGATCATGCCAAACCAATCTTATTTCATTTTTCAATGTAGTGACTGAATTAATAGACCAGTGAAATACCATGGACATAACATAGACTTCAGCAAGGTATTTGACAAAGTAGACCACAACCTTCTCTTAGTAAGCTAGAAAAAAGTGGGATAAGACCACTACCAGA